TGTCAAGCGTGCATCTCGAGCCAAAAAAATTTCCCGCCCGAGCTCCGCCTTCCCTTTCCGCGGGCAGGTAATTGGGCAATTTGGCGCGAGGTGTTAAAGGCGAGACCGGAGGCTGCCCATTAGCATTAAAGTCACTAACTATTGGCAGGAAGGAGTCCCACTACTGAAATTATTTGTTCATTTTTTTTTCATTTATTTATTTTTTTTCTAGATTTTTTTTCCTGTATCGTTGTTTTTGTTTTTTTTTCGGTGTGGTTTATAGGGTGAGGATGAATCAATTCGATTTATTTATTAGTTATTATTATTATTATATTTATTATTATTTTTAAGGGAATGGATTAGTATTGGATTTAGGGTTAAGGGTGGCATTCGTAGGGTAGTCCTGGGGTTGGGCATGGGGAGTGGGGGGGGTAGGGGAGAGGGGAGAGGAAGGGTAAGGGGTAAGGGGGGGGTAGGTGTACGGCGGGCATCAGTGGCAACCCCGGTGGTCGTCGACGTGTGTGGTCCTCTGTTCAACGTGGGTGGCCCAGCTCCTCCCACCTGCCCGGACCACACACGTCGAGGGGCCAGGCCATTCTACGTCCAAGGGGGAGGACACTATGTAAAATAACCCCCCTCCCTCCCTCTCTCCCTCCGGACTTTGAGAAAGATGGGGCGAGACTATTATTTTTTTCGTGTGTGTGTTTCCTTTTTTTCTTCAAAATTTGGGATCAGGGAGGATATATATCGTAATATGTTACGTTTCGCGGAAATAACGAGAGAATAAAGATGTCAGTCGATAAATATTTTTTATATATACAGTAATTATAGCAAGGACGGTAGCCCAGAATTGTCCCCCCGTCTAGGACTCCCCCACCATGCAGCAATGGACTCTTCCGCTGCCGTTCGTCCCAGGATAAATCATAATTACATCTTCCAATTATTCTGAAGCTCATTTGTAGTTTAGCCAGACGACAGCTAACGTCAAAATTATTTAGACGCTCGGGGAGAGAGAGACAATGCTAATGGAAATAAGTTAACTTGAAACGGAATTTTGAAAATGGTCTGTGCTAATGATGCCCATGAAAGGAAAATGTTTGTTGTGTATTTCTGTTTTTTGTTTTTGTTTGTTTATTTGTTATTATTATTGTTATTATTATTTTTATTATTATTTTTATTGTCGTCTTTATTATTATTGTTATAATCATTGTTATTATTATTGTTATTATCATTGTTATTATTATTGATATTATCATTGTTATTATTATTGTTATTACCATTGTTTAGTGATATTATCATTGTTATTAACATTGTTATTATTATCGTTATTGTTATTTTTATCTTTAGCATCACAATTATTATTATCATCATAATCATTATTATTATTAACAATATTATTATTATTGTTATTGTTGTTATTGTTATCATCACCTTCGTTATTATTATTGTTATTGTTATCATTACCTTCGTTATTATCGTTATTTACTTCCTCATCATAACCATGTATGCATATGTGTATTTATGTATGTATGTATGTGTATATATCTACTTATTTATGTGCATGTACGCATGTGTGTGAGTGTTTGTGTGAGTATGAGGGAGCGCGGGCGTGTATGTACGTGTGTACGTGAATTGGCGTTTCGTCTGCCCGTCTCGCGATCAGCTGATGTGAGGAGACCCGTGTGACTCATTGTGGAGGTGGTGTTTCCCCGTTTTCATTTCTTTCCTTTCCCTTCCTCTCTCCCTCTCTCCCTTCTCCCTTTCTCCCTCCCTCTCTCTCTCTCTCTCTCTCTCTCTCTCTCTCTCTCTCTCTCTCTCTCTCTCTCTCTCTCTCTCTCTCTCTCTCTCTCTCTCTCCTCTCTCTCTCTCTGTCCCTTTCTCCCTCCTTTTCTTTTTCTTTTGCTATCTTATACTTCTCACATTTCTCGCATCTTCCTTTCTCTCTCTATTTCTCCTTCCTTTCCTTTTTTTTTTTTAGCTAACTTCTACTTTTCTAATTTTTTCTCATCTTCCTCTCTCTTTTCTTCTCACCCTCCTTTCCTCTTTTTCTCACTATCCTCTAGCTCCTGTGCGGTTTCAAACCTTTCTTTTTTTTCCCTTCTTTATTCTCTTTCTTTTTTCCGCTTGTATCGTCCTCTCCCTATTTTTCCTTTTCTTTTTTGTTTGCTTGTTAAGTCTTTCTCTTTCTCGTTCCTCTCTCCTTCACTCTCTTCCTTCTCTTCCTACCCAAATCCCTCTCTCATTTCTCCTCGTCTTGTCCTTCTCTCGTTTCTTTCCCTCATACCCTCCCTCCCTCCCCACCTCCTCCTCCCTCCCTCCCTCCCTCCCATCCACCCACCCACCCACCCACCCACCCACCAAAACACCCACCCACCCACCCACCCACCCACCCACCCACCTTATACCCACCCCCTTCCCTCCCCCTCCTTCCACCTCTCTTCCTACCTCCTCCCCCCACCTTCCACCCTATACCCTCCTTCCTTCCTCCCTTCCCCCTCCTCACCCTTCCCTCCTCCTTCCTCCCTACCCTCCTCCACCTCCCTCCCCACCTCCTCCTACCCCCCCTCCTCCTACCTCCCCACCCTTCCCTCCTACCTCCCCACCCTTCCCTCCTCCCTCCCCACCCTTCCCTCCTCCCTCTCCACCTCACCTCCCTCCCCACCCACCGCCGCTCAGCTGTCCCGCCCTCGTTCACGTGGTGGCAGTCTCCGTCACCTTCTTCCCACAGATCTGATTATCCGTGACAGCGACCACCCGGGATTGTATAGACCACCCTCCTCGTCGGGCTGCTAAAGAGTGTGTGTGGTCGCATAGGCCCACCGTAGAGCTCGGTGCCGGTGGTCTGTGTTGGTGGTCTGTGTTGGTGGTCTGTGATGGTCTGTGTTGGTGGTCTGTGATGGTCTGTCCTGGTGGTCTGTCTTGGTGGTCTTTTGCTGACGGCGTGTGGTGCCACCAGATGTGTGGTCCGACCCATCGACTCGCCGGCACTTGGCACTCGGTAGCCGTGGCTCATTACGGCTAAGTTTGTCGAGCCTTTTAGTAAAATCCTCCTTGCACACGTCACTCCTCTCTCTCTCTCCCTCTCTCTCTCTCTCGCTCCCAGTAGCAAGCCGCTTTCATGAAAAGACCTTCGTCTTCGTCTTCGTCGATTTTTAATTTTCAGCACTCGGTAGGCCCTGCTTAAGGCCCACCCTCGTTGACCAGTCGTAGGTGGTCCACGAAGAAGACCACCTTCCTTGATTAGCGGTAGGTGGTCTTTTAGGTGGTCTGGTAGGTGGTCTTATAGGCCCACCCTCCGAGCTCGGTGGAAAAAGCAGTGTTCTTAGGCCAGAAATCCCATGACGTAGATTTGGGTGGTCTGTATAGGCCCACCCTGCATGAACTAGGATGGGTGGTCTAGCTCAGCCATACCCCTCCTCCCCCCCTCCTCCCTTCCCCCCCTATGATAACCGAGTGGGCGATCCCATTACTCCAGTACATGCATATTAATTCTACGAGAAAGAAATGGGTACAGGAAGTACTATATCCCCCCCTCCCCCTCTCCCCCCCCCACTCGAGGACGGTCGACGTAGGAGGCAAAATGGTGCTCATTAACCATAAACGCAATGCCATGTAATCTATGGCCGACGAAGACCCTAGCTCTCAGGCCGCCCGTGTATTTGGGGGGGGGGAGGAGGAGGGAGGGAGGGAAGGAGGAAGGGGGAAGGAAAGGAGGAAGGGGGAAGGGAAGGGAAGAAGGAGGAGGAGAGGAAGCGGAGAAAGAAGAGGAAGGAAAGGGGAGAAGGAGGAAGGGAAAGGGAGAAGGAGGAGGAGGGAAAAAGGGGAAGGGAAGGAGGAAGGGGGAAGGGAAGGGGAGAAGGAGGAGGAGAGGAAGCAGAGAAAGAAGAGGAGGGAAAGGGGAGAAGGAGGAGGAGGGGAAAAGGAGAAGGAAGAGGAGGGGAGAAGGAGGAGGGGAAAGGGAGAAGGAGGAGGAAAAGTGGAGAAGGAGGAGGGGAAAGGGAAAAGGAGGAGGAGAGGGAAGAGGGGAGAAGGAGGAGGGGAAGGGGAGAAGGAGGAAGGGAAGTGGAGAAGGAGGAGGGGAAAGGGAAAAGGAGGAGAGGGAAGAGGGGAGAAGGAGGGTAGGGGGAAGAGGGAGAAGAGGGAGGGAGGGAGGGAGGGAGAGACTGGTCGCGTCGTATCACGGATAATTATGATTTCACGGGCAGACACGGGTGGGTTCTTAAGTGATTTAGATTGCCTCATTTTTTTTTTTCCTTTTTTTGTTTACTTCTTGTACCCAAACCCTGGGAACTTCGGTGATTCTGATAATATAACTTTATCTACATCTATCTGCCTATATATCAAACTATCTGTCTATCTATCAAGCTATCTGTCTATCTATCAAGCTATCTATCCATCTATCAAGATATCAGTCCATCGATCTATCTATAGACGTAAAGCAGGAGAGGGGAAAAAAAACTACCCAGGATAGTATACTTTATCCAATTCCAACCCCCCTAAATTAGAAGGAATAAAAAAGGAAACCAAAAATAGGGTAATGTATTCAAAAAGAAAAAAAAAAAATATATATAGCCTAGAGGGATATGGCGATGATCGACAGACGACTAATACCCCCCAAAATCTAGTCGTCTTTGGAGGTCTCCGTGAGTAGGCCCACCCTCAGTGTCAGAAAGAGTGGGTGGTCTGGGCACAAACATAGGCTGAGGATGAAAAGGAGAAGGAGAAGGAGGAGGAGGAGGAGGAGGAGGAGGAGGAGGAGGAGGAGGAGGAGGAGGAGGAGGAGGAGGAGGAGGAGAAGAAGGAGGAGAAGGAGGAGAAGGAGGAGAAGGAGGAGAAGAAGGAGGACGAGAAGGAGGAGAAGAAGAGGGAGAAGAAGAAGAAGAGGGAGAGGAGGAGAAGGAGGAAGAGGAGCAGGAGGAGGGGATGGGGAGGAGGGGGTGGGGGTGAAGGAGGGTGTTTGCGTGGGGTCTTTGGTCTTCTAAGATCTGTGGACAGGGAGGTCTCGACGGCTAAGGGGGGGGGGGGGGCGTGTCCTTTAGCCTGGGAGGTCTTCGGGGGTAAGTTGGTAAGGGGGAGGGGATGGGGGGGGGATGGAAGCAAGAAAGTTTAAAGGGATTTGGTCAGCTGATTATGGCTTCCGTTATGGCGAAGGGGACCCTCCACGATGAGAGAGCGACCACACACACACACGTACATACACATACACACACACACACGCGTACACACACACACACGTACATATACGCACATACACGTACACACACGTACACATACATACAAACACACGCGTACACACACACACACACACACACACACACACACACACACACACACACACACACACACACACGCACACACACACACACACACACACTCTCTCTCTCTCTCTCTCTCTCTCTCTCTCTCTCCATACCCGCACTGAAGCCCCTCCCCCTTCCCCAAACACACGTGGGAATGTTTTGGTTATGTCAAACAACCGTCTTGTTTACCCATCGTGGTGTGAGCTGTTTGGGATCTTGTTTCGTAATGTTTCGTCCTCTTTCTTTTTCCTGACAGTTAATAAAATGTGCTTAATTTGTGAGTTTGTGTGTGTGTGTGTGGGGGGGGGGGTTACAGGCGGAGTTGTGTAAAAATGCTGAAAATTCTGGTGATCGGTAGTTGTGATGATTGTCGTAACTGGTAATTAATGTTGAAAGATTGTTATTAACGATATTGACGGTGACGTATCATCATTATCGTTATCACATCATCATCATCATCACAATCACCACCATCACCATCTTCTGTTATCACCACTACCATTACCATGACTATCGTTCAGGATCATGATTGCTGTAATTCCCATGATAATATAAACGTCATTGTTCTTATTACAGTTCTTTTCATAATCATCAGTAACATCGACATTGGCTTTACTTATGATAAAATGATAAGGCTGTTAACATTTAGAGGAAAATCAACTACAGAAATTTTACAATCTTACATTCTTTAACAATTTACAAGTTGTTTATCTGTTTATCTTAACATAGATATGTGTGTTTGTTAAATGCATATCTAACCATGTCTATACCACCTAGGATTAATTCGCTATGCCGTTTGTTTCTCGGAGTGTGTGTGTGTGTGTGTGTGTGTGTGTGTGTGTGTGTGTCTGTATGTCTGTCAGTTTATCACTCGCTCTCTACCCGTTCTCCCTTCCTTCCTCCCTATTTTCCATCTCCCTCTCCTTCCTTTCCCCCCTCCCCTCCCTCACACCTTCCTCCCAGCCAGCCTCCATCCCGTTTTCCCTTACCACAGAATTTATCAAATCCCCATATCTCTCTCCAGGATATCTACGAGGACTACCCAATGCCCCAAGAGGAGCTGCCCCTCGAGGAAGAGATTCTAGGACGACTCCGAAGCTTCAACCGCCTCCGTTACTGAAGCTCCGAAGCTCCGGAACGCGAGTCATACAACACCCAGAGAATGAACCACTTTTAAACCATTGTATTTTGTTCCGCCATTTGTCGGAATCTAAATCTTTATTTTGTCTGTCGAATATCAAAATCGTTGGTTAAGTGACACTGATTAGTTGGCTGGTTGGTTTTCTTGATTTAATTAATTGTTATTTAAAGCGGCAATTTTGTCTTGGATATCTTAACCTCTGGGATTTATGTGTCTCATTAATTCGGTCTCAAGTCCCTTAACATCTGCGGGATAAATGAATTAAACCATATTTACTGAATTGAATTCAATTGTTTATCGACCGTTTGTGAGATACACGTGTTTTGATTGGCTGATTTACATAAAGGGTAAAACCTTATTTTATCTCGGTTTCTCAGCATCACCGGTTAGAGTAATTCATAATTTATTTAAATACTTCAGATATCGGTTTTCTATCGTTAGTTGAATTCGGGTGAATGATATAATAATGATTTTTTTTCGAGATACGAACCAGCCACCTCATCATAACTCCATCTCTTAAATTTTTGGCGGTTATTGGATTCTGTAATTAATTCCTTATTCTCATTCATATTCTTTATACTACTGATGACTTTTATTTATTTAACAGCCGCCTATCACTCATGATTTGTGCTTTGATTGATAATGCTTTGCCATTACCCAGGGGTCCTGTCTCTGGATGTGTGTGGTTTGGGTTAATTTCCATAAATATATAACTGACAATATCACTCATATTTGCGGTTGTCACTATGAGGTCTGTTTTATCAGTATAGGCTTTTAATGAGAATGTATATAAAGATTATATGAACATCTATGGCAGAGACATGAAGGAATCTAACTTAATATTCTCATATAGTAAACACAATGGGCTATATAATATCTCTGCAAGGTCAGATTTAACCGTACTGTAAGATTTAAAATACTAACGATTAATCCAATTATAACACACGGTTTCCATATTTCTCCATATAACCTATTATATTTTTGTAACATTATCTGGTTTGAACAAGGCATGTTAAGTCGATACAATACAAGGCCCAGTTAGTCGAAAAAGGATTATATATGATAATATTCAGTCGCGAATTACATATGAAAAAAGTCAACCTTTCCTTGCTCTGTTAAAAAATCAGACGAATAAGATATTAATATGTAAATATTAATATTTAAAATTCTCAAGGAACGATTTTGTTGAGCAGGTGCATTACTTCGATCAAAAGAAGCACAGTATTAGAGTTACAGATTTTTTTTTTCATATGAATACCATATGTCTTGTATTTATCATGATCGAATATGTGTTAAAAATAAGTTTTTGCTTTGTAAACATTGTCGAAAAATGAGGCGAAGATACTTAAAAGGGAACTTTGGATCCACGGCAACCAAAGACAATATTATCAAGTTACGGAGAATGGAAACAGTTATGACGTTGCTTCATCTTCACATTTCTGTGGAAAAGATTGTCCCTATATTAGTCAGCATTATTGAGTCATATACTGTTACTTATATGGTTGTTTATATATGTACACATATATATGTACGTATGTATATATGTATGTATGTATGTATGTATGTATGTATATGTATGTATGTATGCATATATAAATGTACATATATCCATATATAAACATTCTACATTAAAAAAATCAAGAAAAAATATCACTATTTTTTTGTACTTCAAGAACAACAGCAACAAAACTACCTAGTAAAAAACTACCATCTGTCCATCATCATTACTACTTATAAATCATACTACTAATTTAATACTTACACCGACAGGCTCACAAACACCTGTAAAACATGTGTAAATATACTTCGGAAACACAGGCATGACAAGCAGATTTAGAGGGGCATTGTAATGACGAAACTTACGAAATCTGTTGCTTGAGGTTTAATAATGTTTTCGAAGATAAAATAACACTATTTTTTTTTCATCATTTTTATTATGTGGTTAGTGTTGGAATTGCTATGATTGTGATATTTTTTATCATTATCTTGCACATATTTAATATTACTAGTACTACAAAAATATTATTATTACTATAGTTATTATTATTGCTATTGTTATTATTATTTCTTTATTGGTATTCTTATTATAGTTGCTATTGTTACTTATTGTTATTGATGTTAATATTATTATCTTTGATATTATTATTGATGTTAATGTTATTATCTTTGATATTATTGTTATTATTATTATTATTATTATTATTATTATTATTATTATTGTCATCATTATTATTATCATCATCATCAATGCTATTGCTATTAATATCTCTTGTATCATTTTAACAATCTGCATTATCACCATCATTATTTAATAATTGGTCAGATTTTTACGATGATAAAAATAATGACACTAATCATTAATTATTGAAATCTTTATTATAATCTGTGGCATTATTTTACAGTTTGCATTCAATTAAATTGCAATTATGATGATTATTATTATTGTTATATCATTTAAGATCAATATAGATTGCAAGGTTCCTAGAAATCGTGGGGGGGAGGTGAATAGTTTGGGGGAGGGAGGGAGGGAGGGAGGGAGGGAGGGAAGGAAAGAAGGAAGGAAGGAAGGAAGGAAGGTAGGAAGGAAGGAAGGAAGGAAGGAAGGAAGGAAGGAGGGAAGGAGGGAGGGAGGGAGGGAGCGGGAAGGGAGGGAGGGAGGGAAGGAAGGAAGGAAGGAAGGATGGAGGAGGGAGGGAGGGAGGGAAGGAAGGAGGGAGGGAGGGAAGGAGGGAGGGAAGGAGGGAAGGAAGGAGGGAGGGAGGGAGGGAAGCAGGGAGGGATGTGAAGGAAGGAAGGAAGGAGAGAGGGAATTAGGGTGGGAAGAAAGGGAAGAAGAAAGGTTGGTGTGAAGGAAGGAGGGAGGAAGGGAGGATGGGTGGGTGGGTGGGTAGGTGGGTAAGAGGGAAGGAGAGAGGGGAGAAAGGAGATAATTAAGAAGGGAGGGAAGAAACGAGAATTCGGGAGGAGGGAAGGGAGGGAGAAAGAAAGATAGAAAGGTAGAAGATAGGAAGATGGGAAAAATACGGGAGAGAAGAGATGGGAAGGGAGAGAGAGAAGATTAGAAGAGAAAAGGGTTGAGAGAGGGAGGAATAAGGAAGGGAAAGGAAGAAAGGAAGATGAGGTTGAGAAGGTAGACAGAAGAGGAGGAATAACGGGAGTGAGAAAGGAAAATCAGAAAGGAATATGGAGAAGTAATAGAGAGAGAAATTGGGGAAGAGAGAGAGATAGAGAGAAAGAAAAAGAGCGATGGGGAGATAGAGACAGAGTGAGAAAGATTGGGAGGTGGAAGGAATGGATGGAGATAGAAGGAAAAATAGATAAAGAAAAATAGATGAAGAGAAAGGGAAGAGAGAAGAGGAGGGAAAATGAAGAGAAAGAAAAATAGATGGGGAAAAAAAGAGGTAGCTGGGAAGAGAAGAAAGAAGAGAGGAAAAGGTAAGGGGAGAGAAAGTGAAAGATAAAAGAAAGAAAAGGAAGGAATAGGAGGTGGAAGTGAGAGAAAAAGAAGGAAAGGGAAAAAAGGGAGGGAGAGAGAGAAAAGGGGAGGAAGGAAAGAAGGACGGAGGGAGGGAAGGAGGGAGAAAAAGAGGGAATAGAAGGAAGGAAGGACGGAGGGAGGGAGAGAAAGAGGGAAGTAGGGAAGGAGGGAAAAAAATAGAAGGGAAAGAGAGGACGAGATAGAGAGGAAATGAGAGAAAGAGGGAAGAAAAGAGAATAAAGTCAAGGATGTCATTCATGTCACAGGAATCTTATCTGATTCACGTTGCACGATGCACAATGTGGCAGAAATCTATAACTACCTTTGCCTCCTTGATGCAAATATTGCTCGGGAAACAAAGTACTTCCGTTTTCTTCAGATTTCAAAATAGTATCCACGTATTTGTCGCTCAGGTCACCTTTATTTAAATCATTGAGAAAAAAAGAAAAGATAAAAAATTGTAACTGAAAATAAAAAGTCGGGAATATATTTTTTTTTTGGTCAGGATCTTTGTCACAATTACAAGATTTATATATGTATAAAAAACAACAACATATCATTCCATGCATACATGAATATTGTGACACATAATTAGACATCCTATGTAGATAATCATAGTGTTTTAGGCAAATATCACCCTCATGTTCGACTACTGTACATCCCTCTGTAGGTAGTAGTCAGGCTGAGACACATATGGTTCGAAAATTATCTAAAAATATATTTAAAATGTGTATGGTTGATTAACTAGCATCAGAAATATATGTACACAAACTGTACGATTCGTTAACTTACTACTAGCATAAAAATATATATATATAATGTATGATTGATTACCTTATTACTAGCATGACTGTACATGACTGTCATAAACCCATTATTGGTCACGATATGTAAAATAACTGTTAGTCTCATGACAATAAAACACTTCAAGATACACATAGATCACAGTAGCTGTATACATGCATTTGTCATTGATATACTATCATCAATTCACTTATTTTCTTGTACAGTGTGAACCGATAAATCTTAATTCAGTGATTTCCTTGTATACTAATCTGAAAAATATCGTACACATCACCTCACACGTTTCGACTTTCAGTAATACTTGGCTGGTATATGTATTGCGTGGAATTGAAGATAATGTGTTTTTAAATTCGGGCGTGTACGGAAATTCGCTATGTATACAGTATTATCATAGTTCAAAATATATCCAACTATTTATTCAACGTGCTTTTATTATCCCTCTATCTGTATGGTATCTGTATGTGAACTGATTCGGTAAAGGTGATATGATAAATGATGTACTATGTCTTGGAATTTTGTGGTATATAAGTGTCCTAGCCATTCTCTCTCTCTCTCTCTCTCTCTCTCTATCTATCTATCTATCTCTCTCTCTCTCTCTCTCTCCGTCTCTCTCTCTCTCTCTCTCCTCTCTCTCTCTCTCTCCTCTCTCTCTCTCTCTCCCTCCCTCTCTCTCTCTCTCTCTCTCTCTCCTCTCTCTCTCTCTCTCTCTCTCTCTCCTCTCTCTCTCTCCTCTCCCTCTCTCTCTCCCTCTCTCTCTCTGTCTCTCTCTCTCCCTCTCTCTCTCTTTCACCCTTTCTCTCCTTCCCTCTCTCTCTCTCTCTCTCTCTCTCTCTCTTTATCTCTCTCTCTCTCAGCATCAGTTGCAGCTCAGCCCTCACTGCAGCAAGACAAATCTCTCTCTCTCTCTCTCTCTCTCTCTCTCTCTCTCTCTCTCTCTCTCTCTCTCTCTACCTCTCTCCTCTCTCTTTCTCTCTCTCTCACACACACAGTCGGAGTGTATCTCTCATAGAAGTAAGACGTGTTGGTAGTGCTGTCCTTCGAGTTTACCCCCCCTCCCCTCCCCACTTAGGGCTCGGACAGGGAGCGGGTGAGATGCCTCAGGGCCTCCAGTAATCTGCAATATGCATAACTATCATAATTCTAAAAGAACATTGGCATAATTTGTGTAATCCTGCAAGGTTGATTCCTGGCGACCGTTGACAAGCACTGAGCTCAACTCCTCCCCAGGTGTCAACATGACTAGTGTTGTCATATCGACTCCCCCCCCCCTTCCCCCATTACGACATGGAAATGAAAGTTTTAATGCGCAAAGATATGTCGAAAGTGGATCCCATGAAGGAAAGAAGTGAAGGAAGTGTGGACATGAGTGAGAATGGATGCGAGCGCGAGACGAAGAGGGAGAAGGACGACGAGGGAACCGAAGCAGGAACGCAGAATGTTGCCAGTGTGAATGGAAACGATTGCCTCCACAGGGCTGCGCCATGAGTTCCACGGAGAGATAGAGGTGGGCCATGCAACTCGGCCGGGACCACCGTGATTTCGAGCCAATACTGAAGGAAGGCAGTGAGAGGCCGGCGAACCAGGAGAGGCGGAGTAGACCCTGACGACTCAAGGATACAAGGGGACAGTGATGACTGTCCTAAAGGCTTAGAAAAACTCATTATAGTGATAATTTTCCATTTTCGTGGAAGGGAAGCGCCAGAGAGGGTATTCATCTCTGGAGCGGGGCATATGGGGGGAGGGGGGGTGGCACCGTACGTGGAGCCGCCAATCATGTACCTCAAGTGCTGCCGATGGGGTCACAAGACTTGGACCTGTCAGCAGGATGCTCAATGCAGGTTCTGCGGTAGAAAGCGTGAATCCGGGATCTGCCGAGCCAAAATAGAAAAGGGGAAAAGGGAGGCCCACACAGTGCTAGGTCTCTGGCATGCAGGGCGTGGCCACAATTAAAAATAAATTTGGCGGATCCCTAGAAAGGAATCACAGACAAAGAGAAAGGGCCGCCACACGCAGGCAGAGGCGCAGAGGGAAGCAACAGGTTCAATCCCTAACTCCCGACTGCAGGGCCCAATCCGCGTGGCGCCGCCGCCAAAGGGCAGTAATCAATCTCAGGACGAACGGCAGGTGCAGGAAATGAAGGGGGTGAAGGGAGCCGCAGAATAGGGATGCGGATTTTTCGGGGAAGGAAATATATGTAAATACCCAGATGCTGCAAACAATGACGCAGAGAATGGATGTTATTAAAAAAAAAAAAAAAAAAAAAAAAAAAAAAACATACGTTAAGGACAAAGAAACCGAGAAACCGAAGAACAAAAAAAGGGAGAGGAGGCTGTAAAATAAAAATAAAAATATTAATAGCCCTACAAAGGAACAAATGTAGATTGTAAGATAACTGTTAAGGGAAAAAAGGAAAATAAAAGCGTGTTTAGGGGGAGAAACAACCTCTTCGAACTTCCGGTCAATCCTGCTGAAGTGAAAAGATCAAGAGAAGGAAAACCCCTTGAAAAAATAAGAAGCTGTACGAAAGAGGTGGACAAACATTCAAGAAATGTTGGAAAAAATATAAGGACGCGATAAAGGTCAGATGGAGCCTCATAATATTAGAATATTATCGTAGACTGTGAGCAGTTTACTTACCAGACTTACAGTCATCCACTACTTCGTATTGAAAAACGATATTGGCGTAGTTTGCCTCCA